CTCTGATGCACTCAACCCCACTCTGCTCCCAGAGCTAGAATGGAACTTAGGAATCAGTGTTCACAGCCCTCACAACCTAGCAGACCCCACTCTACCCCCTACTGAGTAGGTCCCAAATGTCCTGAAGGGAGGAGCCAGAAAGGCAGGACAGTTACAGAGACAGACTTTATTACTACATGGAGAATACACACAGCTGCAGCACTGCTGCACTGAGCAGGTCTGGACAGACAGTGGGGGGCACCCAGAGACAATGTCTACTATGGGGCACATCAGCTGCTCAGACTGGCCCCATGCCATGTAGTGCCCTTTGACCTCCACCCCAACAGCAAGAGGGAGACAGAGGCCCAGGAGGGGGAGGGGATGTAGTGGGTGGTGCCCAATGGGTAGGACGGGACAGGCATTTAGGGGGTGCCCTCCAGGGCATAACCTGCCCGTTGGTTGGCAGGAAGTGCCTCCTGTTCCAGGTCCCAAACAAGGCGACGCATGCGGCACAGCTGACGGTGCAGGGCATCATCACCCACGGGCTCAGAGAGGCACAAGCGGAATCCCTCAATAGGCAGGATCAGGGGTGGGTGCTCTGTGAAACTCTCAAAGATATCACCTGCAGGACAGAAGAGGTCAATGATTCCTGGGCAGGAGAGTGGGGGCTGCAGGGTGGGGGTGAATGGCACTAGCAGGGCTGGGAGGAGCCCAGGGCCAGAGTAGGGGGGAAGCAGGTCAGAAGGAGAAGGAACAAATAGGGCCAGGCTGGAGAGCTGCAGGCCAGGACTGGGTGGCATGCCAGGGCCAGGTAGGTGCTGGGGGTCCCAGAGCTGGGCAGGCAGTGTGAGCTGGAAGCAGGAGTACAGCAGGGCCCAGTGTGGGGGCTGTGGTGTAAGAAGAGGGAGTACAGGCAGGACTGGGCTGGTTTTTTGGGGTGGGGGAGGGGGGGAGGCTGTAGGGTGGGCATGGGGGGCACAGCAGGGCCAAGCAGCAGCTGTGGGCTGGGGGCACTCACTGCTAGCAATCTTGTCTTGCTCTTCAGGTAGGGGGCTCCAGGCCTCAGGGTAGGGCCGGCCTAGCCCAAGGTAGTAGTTGCTGAGGAGATGGTGGAGCTGGGCAGGAGTCAATGCCAGGTATTCATTGCGTAGCCGGGACCAGGAAGCCTGTAAGGGGAGAGCAAAGAGAGGCTGGGAGCAAGAGAGGACACTTCCCCTTGTGGAGGCTTGTTGGGGCCTTGCTCCACCTCCTGATCTGGCCAGCACTGCCCAGAAGCAAAGGGCTCCTGTCCTATTATCACCTGAGCCCTACAACCTGTGCTACAATCTGGTACTAGGCCACAAACACATTCTCCACACCCCTGAGGAAGCCCATGCCCTGCCCTAGGGCTGGCATGCCTCACTGGGTGAAGGCTCCTCCCCAAGGCTCCCTGCGGCTGGATGGGCCCCTGCTCCTACCCAGGTACTCACCTTAACAAGACTAGTTTTCGGGATGCATAGCAGGTTGATGGTAGTAGACAGCTTCCGGAAGAATTCAGTAGCAATGTCACCCAGTCCCACGCCCTGTAGCCAGTCCAGCACCAGGTCCAGGTTGGTGCGTATCTGCACTGCCTTTGACCACTGGTAGAAGGGTGCCCCATTCCCTGTAGGGAGGGTAGGCGTGAGGGGTAAGACTCTAGACCCTGAGCTCACCCCTGTGGCAGCTGCTTCCTGCCCCCCACATCTCTTCCCTATCTCTTGTCCCAGACCCCTCCCTGCAGCTGCCGGGGGCAAAGGGGTGTGGGGAGGGTTGTGCTCCCCAACCCTGCATCCAGCTGTTTCCTGCAACAGGGGAAGGCACAGGCCAAACTGCCAGGCACAGGGAGGAGCAGGAAAGCACTGGCTTCCGGGAGATACTGGGACAGACAATAGCAGGAAACTGGGAAGGGAGGGGGGAACATTCAAGAGTGGGGAGGAGAAAGGAGCTGGGATAGAACCTAGGTGTCCTGGCTCCTGTCCCCCTGCTCTCACTCACAAGACCCCACTCTATACCCCAAGGCAAGAGACAACCCAGGAGTCCTGGCTTCCAGCCCCCAACTCTAACCCACTGTATCCCTCTTGCCTCCCTGGGCTGGGATAGAACGCTGGTGATCCTGATGCTTATGCCTACCTTTCTCCATGAGGGTGTTGAAGAGTGAGGCATTGGAGAAGAAGAAGAGATAGCCGAAGGTCTGAGACACTAGGTCAGGGTGCAGCTCACACTCCCGTGTTAGCTCCAGTGTGGCCTGGTAGATGGCCAGGGTGCCACGAGTGCCCTCAGGCATGCTGCTCAGGTCCTGAGCTGGGCACAGCTCTGCTCCAGCTGTGAAGGGGTTACTGTCCAGCAGGGCAGGCAGGGCTGAATAGAGCGTCTGCCCAGGACAGAAAAGGGTTAATAAGAACCAGGGACTTCAACCAGCCCCTAGGGCACTAGGGGTGCCATGTTGCAGGGAGCTGGGCAATGTGGTACACAGTGAGGGGTGCTGTGCAATGGGCCATGGTCTTCTGGGGGCCATGGTCTCCTGAGGGTGCTATGCTGTGAGATGGTGGGCACAGTGAGGGGAGCTGTCCTGCTGGGGCTTGGTCAGGGGTGCATCACTGAAGGGGTATGGCAGGGCTACTATGCTGTGGTGAGCATGACAGGGACCTAGCACTGCTGCACTGCAGGGTGGCAGGGTGCAGCGCTGCAGGGGCAGCTCTGCTCACCTTGGTCAGGTAGTACACAGACTGCTGGAAAGTGGACATGATGACCTCGTCCAGCACTGCCATGGCCTCGTCACACATCTCCAAGTCACCAGACAGTAAAACATCCTGGGATGTCCCTGAAGTGGGACACAGGGAGGTGGGGGCTCTCCCAGATCTCAAGGGATCAACCCACCTTGCCCTGCTGGGAACAGAACCCAGGCATCCAGGCTCCCCATCCCCTGCTCTAAGCCACCAGATCCCACTCCCTTCCCAGAGCTAGGAAAAAACCCAGGTGTCCTGACTCCCAGCCCCCGACACCACCCGAAATCAGGGTAGGACTAGAGTATGCTGCTCACCCTCCAGCTCCAGCTCCTTTTCCATGTCCAGCATCTTCTTCTGGATGAGGTTGAGCAGCTCCATGGCATTGGCCATCCACAGCATGAGGGGGCGCAGATCCGTGGCCACCTCCTCAATGCTGAGCACTCTGACTTGGCTCTTGTCTTTCTGGCTGGAAGGAGCAGAGGGCAAGGGGTCATTTGGGATTAGACACCCTTCCCATGCCCAGGACCCTCAAGAGACCCTTCTCTTCTCAAGCTTGACAGAACCCAGGAATCCTGGTAGCTCTGGAGTAAGGGTGTGTTGGGGGCTGGTTATAAAGAGACCTATCACCTGGGGCTGAGATGCAGCTACCTCTGAAGTAGGGCATTTTGGGGACT